GTGAATAATGTATGTCAGTAACTGTTCTATAGTACATGTGCCTCACGGTATTGCTGTAATCATGTGAATAATATATGTCAGTAACTGTTCTATAGCACATGTGAGTCACAGTATTGCTGTAATCAGCATTGACGTAGAATGAAATTTACAGTTCACAAAGTTCAAGACAATTAATTTTGACAAGAGTTGAATTTAAATAAATGGAAAGTTCCACAAATCTCTCAAATATTGTGGTGTCATTTCACATCTTTGTTTTGTTTTGCCCCCTGTGCGACCCATAGTGTCTTGTGATTCAAGTTGGCCATCACATCGTCAAAGCAGTCCATTAACCAGTGCACAAAAAGAAAGGAGAAATATGGGAAATGAATTTTTTGTACCTGAACAGCATTGATTGCATCACTGGTTGGTTGGAGAAGTTTTGCAAGGGTTTCCTAAAGAAAAGAAATTAAATGGGATCATTACACTGTTTTTGAAACTAGATGTTATTTGTCTTGGTGCAGTTTTTCCATTACAGACCACATGTCATTCCCTAAGGAGGGAGAGGTGGGGGGGGCTTAGATTGGAAAATTTATGAGACTAGTATGGGAGAAGTGAGGGGGGGGGGGGAGGGGTAAGAAAAATAAAAGAGACTAGTATGGGAAAAGGTGGGGGCTGTAGCCCCCCTGCCCCACCCCTTTCTTTGTTTAATGGTTGTGCATGGGAAGATACATGAATATGGATAAAGCTGAAACAAAGAATCTCATTTGCTAAGGAATGACACATAGTATGTAATGGGAAACATTGTACCCCGATGAATATGTTTTATTACAGTATGTTGGCTCATTTAGTTGGACACCAGTCTGTTTTGTGGGAGGTCATGGGTTCTAGCCTTCATGGCCAGACCAATACTCAGRGTTTCAAAATATCTGCAAATGATTTGACCATCACTGTGGTTTGGATGAACATGTTAAGTGGTGGTCACATTTCACTGAAAGACATCACACAAGCTTAGACTGCTAAGTTGGCAACTGTCATGTGTCCCCCTCAATTATGATGACAATTACAACAATTATGATGGTGATGGTGACAATGATGATAATGATGGTGATGATGACAAAGATGATGATGGTGACAATGATCATGATGGTGATGATGATGATGGCGATGGTGACRACGATGGTGATGGTGATGATTACGATGGCGATGATGTTGATGATGATAGTGATGATGATGACGACGATGGTGATGTTGGTGATGATGTAGACAATGATAATGATAATGATGGTAACAATGACGTTAATGGTGATGATTATGATGGTGATGATGTTGATGACAATGATGATGAAGATAGTGATGATGATGATGATTATGACAATGATGATGATGATCGTGATGATGATGATGATGATGGGGATAATGACAGTGATGATGATGATGATGATAATGATAATGCTGAGGGTATTTATGAAATGCTGAGGATGTTAATTGTTATGATAGTACTTACTGGAGTAGGAGTCTTGTGCTTTGAAACCACAACAACGAAACTCCTCTGGGCTTGAAAAGCCTTTTGCAGGAGTTTGACCTGATGTAAATAGTCATAACAAAACACTGAACAATTTGATGCCTTGTCCAATAATATGTGTACCATGCAATACCAAATGCAATATAAAGCTAGATAGCGCATACAGCTTGAGACAAATAAACCTACAAGCTACAACCATTGTTTAGCGATTGTTTTCCCCAAGATAGAGTAGGTAATTTCAGTAGCTAGACTTACCACTGATTATAAACCTTATATAGTATAAAGCTTTTTATAACTATTTCATATTGAACAGTAGTTCAAGAAAATACCCCCGCAGCCCCAGGAACTTCCAATCAAATTTTCTTCCTTACAAACTCTGTAATCTTATTCTTTCTCTGGCCCCCTTCCACTCCAGAATTGTGAATTTTCACTGTCACAATATTCATTTTAACCATCCTTCATTGCTGCTGTATGTGCTGATCAAGACAACAGTCACTGTATGGATGCAGGCCAAAACCCTTCAGACTTTGCATTTCAAAACATTTTTTATCAATATGTAGTGGGAATCTTAATTCAAATTTTCAATCCAATACAAAAGGATTAGCACATCGGAGTGTCTTTTGCCTCCTGACTTGATTTTACTAARAAAATTCCATTAAATACAGTACTCCTAACTATTAACTGGCATACCTGAAAACCTTATCTTTGTAGAAAAATACATATACACTCAATTGAAGAATCGCTGTCGGGTTCAGAAACATAGAACATAGAAGCTGAGACCGAAATGACACATGKGAAGTTAGTTAATTAGATGCATGCTGTGATCGGCGACCTGTTGCATCCACGGTTTTTAATACGCGTTTTGCATTCTAAACCGACTGCATGGATGGTGCAAATGAATAAATTATAATATAATTATGTCATTTCTCATGTACCACTTCGGTCTCAGCTTTTATGTTCCATGTTTCTGAACCCGACAACGATTCTTCAATTGAGTGTATGTAAATTTCACTATGATGTTGCATCTTGAGTACAAGCAGTAAAACCATGATATAAAAACAAATTTAGACTGACAAACAGTAGCTATTTGTCAGTAACAACTTGAATCGTTTTTATTTCATGGTTTTACTGCATGTGCTCTATCATAACATGATGATAATAACAATAATACGTACAAAATTGTATATTTTTCCATTAAATAATTCAAATGGTTAGAGTAAGTTAGAGTATGGAGTAGAGTATAATATAGTACATATGACATGCAGTACAGTTTTGCGTCGAGTGACGACAGAATGTACACGTACATAAGAACAATATGTTCAATCAGTCAATCAATAATATCTAACACATCACCAAACAGTATTCCATAACATTAAAGATGGTCAGGTGATAACTGGAATATTTTTTCAAACAATATTCAAAACTATAAAATATTGCATAAATTGTATTAATCTTATGTTAGTATTCTTATTTATTACACATTTAGGGTTGATATCTATGAAAAAAAGCTGTGACTAAATACCATACCAGTGAAGTGATACAATATCACTTTCAATATTAATATCATTTACTTTTTGGATTCTGGATTTCATTATTCAATTMAAACATTCATTATTGAAAACGAATATTCAATATTCAAAAAATAATAGTTTGAAAATTCGATTAACTTGGCTCTCASGCTCTGGTTTATAGTGGAAACGGAAGTTAAGTTGTTAATATTAGATATTCCTTGCATCCAGCTGTGTATATGCTTGACTTTTGTATATGCTAGGTTTTGAAGATTTGTTTACAATAATGAATGTTGGAAACGAATAATGAAATCAAGAATGCAAAAGTAAAATCATTAATGACYTATACATGTTCAAGGTTGAGGTGGTTTGACTGTAACATCTCTGTCAAACTCTTGTAAATAGGACCATAGTATATCACTTTCCCACAATATTTTTTTGAAAATCCTAACCATTTTAGCTAATGCCATGCACTAGAATGATTTTCACATGACCGTGAAAGAAAATAGACCATTTAGTTTGTAATAGTTGATAAAGAACAAAAGAAAATCATTGGTTTAGAGTCTACTACTAACTATTAGTTTGCCTATTCTTTCACGATCATATGAAAATCACTCTATAATCAGAGGTGTGATAATCATTGCCAAAAGTATCATGACAGTGAGGCAGTTTGKGGCAAAAACATAAATAAACAAAAATTTTTGACCAAAATTGCCTCATTGTCTTGCCCACCCATGATATTTTTGAMAGCAATCTTCACATCTGGGGATCGAACTGTTCTCTGTAGGGTTACAGTATACAGACTTTACTTATCTAAAAGACGTTTAAATTTTAGTATTCCTTGGTCTATCACTATCTATTGCATTGTATCACCCCAGTCATGTATGATAGACAAGTTTAAGCGATTAGCCTTTTAAAGAACCACAATTACATCCCAAAACGTTGAAACTCTACAACATAATTTTAAACTGCTGACTTTATCCTCATTCAATATAAGAATTATATTAAAAATTTAACACAAACATACCTGATCAGAGACATCCCCACCTAGCTCATTTGAAAGTCCAACAAATTTTGCAACACTTCCAGAAATAAACTAAAATTACAAAGAATAACAACTAGCTTTAGAGAATGCCTAGTTTCATTTATTTAATAAGGATAATTTTGAATAATTTAAAAGGAAAAGATGAAACAAAAGACAGATTTCGTGCAAATAATTTATGTGCAGGTCAAAAGCAACGCTATTTATTCAGCTCAAGAATTATAAAATGCATTGATAAACACCTCGATATGTAGAATAATAGTCCACTTACCCCATCATAGGCTTCCACAATCTCATGACTCCCTAAAAATAATTTTTAAAAGGAAAGTAAATCATGCTGAAAGCTGAAGTGAGTGAGGATTCAACTCGCGAAGGGTTATAATTTTGACTTCATTTTTACCTTCAGCGCTGCCTTTTCCAGCAGCCATTGTCTCTAACTTAGTCGTCACAGCCTCAAGACGAGATACGAGAGCTCCGAGATCAGCAGACATGATGAATTGTGATTAAATGGAGGTTTTTTTGGAGAATTTTTTGGGCTGTTTTACAAGAATGACTGAACTTTGAGAGGTGTGCACAGGAAGAGACTGACACCATACCTTATATGGACATTACACTGACCACCCCAATGCATTACGTCATTCATGCAAATCCACTTCCGGCACCAAATAATTATTAATTATTAAATTATCATTATTTTATAATTATTTTTCACCTCCCTTTTCTCTTTTCTTGATAATATTCCTTGCCCCATAAATATAATATTAAATAAATATTCGCTATTGAAAAGCTTGAAAATGTTCAAGACTCGTGCCAGTCTTCTAATTTACATAATTTAAATTAGACGCTATCAATTTCCGGGCGGAAAAAAGGTAGTTTAACAAAAGAGAGCTCTTTAGACAGTGAAAATAAAAGATTTTTCTTTCATATTTTTCAATTTATTTTCATTGGATAAAATTTTGGAATTCAAAAATATTCAAATATTTTAGTTGATAAGACTCACTGTACATCTTCAAGTGTACAATAACTCGTTTCTATAGGTTGCTATCAATAGACGTCACTTCCGGTAATAGCTATTTTTTGATGGCTTGTAGAATCCTGGAGGTTGTTTTGATCTCTTGTTTTCTGGTTTGATGTCATGAAAATAGTCATATACAATAGTTTGAGGACTTATTTTGATATGTTTTGATTTAGCACCCGCTAGTTGCCCCCCAGTCAACCGCTTGTTTGCCCCCCAGTCAACTCCAAAAAGTCACGTGATTGATAGTAAGCAATTGGGCGTAAAAAAGAGTGGTTTAACGAAAGAGAGCTCCTAAGACAGACAAGATAACTAAACGCAAATTTAACGTTTTCTAATCAATTAATCGAGAGAAAAAAAAAATTCAACCACTTTATAATGGGTTCCCTGTGTCTGAACTTACTTAGATTGGGCTACCTGTGTTAAAATCCCTCTGGCTCAGATTTAACATGGATTCTTCTTCTAATAAGGTAAGAATGTAAGATTAAAAAAAGAAGGCTTTTGTATGACCTATTAAAGTCAGAGGACGATGCACGATCGAGAAAGCGTTCAAATTTCTTCGTATATGCTTCGTATCTTATTTTCTATTGAAATTATTATTCTGTGAATAATATAGAGTCAATGTGCACCATTGCGTGCTATAACGAGTTTACGCATCGATTATTAGGGATTTTGTATTATAGCGTCATTTTATACTTCCACTGCCAGAATCCATTGTACCCTTTTTTTGATCAGTTGTTAATCAGCAATATTTTCTTATTACTCTCGTTAAATAAAKAAAGAAAATTCGCTTATATGTAGACCCCTTGCAGCACCTTGGAATGCAGCTCAATCTGGGGGACAAAACAATAGGTTTCTTTTGTTTTGTTCCAAGGATCAAGCTGCTTTGACGTCACATGCAAGCTGGGTCCATATAACGATTTCAATGAAATGAATATAATAAAATCATAGCTATAATTGTAAGGCAGAGTAGTGGGGAGGGTGTGGGATCAGAAATCTCATGGTTGGGGTTAGATCACAGGTAGCCCAAGCGTATACATTGTACTGTTTTACTATACAATATATGGGACTTCATAAATCTTTATTTTCGTTCATTGAATTTTAATAAAATCCACTAAAACTTCTACAGCGTGTTTTGGTTGTTCTTAGCTTGAAAAGTGCAGTTAGTTTGAACAAAATTCGCTCAGAGTGAAGCTAGGAACAACCAAAACATGCTGTAGAAGTTTCAGTGGATCACATACTTTTAATCAGGGATCACAGAAGAGGGATCAGGATCATATAAATAAATTCAAAGGAGTATCTATAAGATTAGGGATCAAAATACTTGAATTTTTGGGGTGAGGGATCAATATTTTGTGTACTAATTTGGAATCAATCATAAAGAAACATCCTTGGTCACCACTAGTCATTATTTATAGGGGGAAAGTCGATCAAAAGGGATGCCTTTAAGGCTTTTCCTGTGTGATTTATCAGTACTGGTATCGAAACAATCCTGGACCCTGCTGCACAAAGGGTGGAAAGCACTATTTGTGTCCTCA